ATGAGACGATATACAACAGAATGAATGTAAAACTAATGTTCTCCCATGTAAACTATCACATAATTCACAATAAAACATTTAAGAAAAAAAAAAAGTGGATAGAGAGAAATACTGTTAACTGACGGTACATGGAGGGATTATAATCATTGTAATGAAACACGGTGTGTGATTTGTTGAATGTAAAACTGATTATATGCCCTGTAAACTTTCACTCAATCCACAATAAAAACCTTAAAAAAAAAAAGGCAGTATTTGCCTAATGACAAAATTTAGAAGGGTGGGGAAAAAATGAGGAAGAGAAACACAGAGGACATGAGATAACTGTTGTTACATGAAGGGGATTGCAATCATTGAGATGAAACAAGATGTATGGTTTTGTGAATGTAAAACTGATGATCTGCTCTGTAAACCTTCATTAAATTCACAAAAGTTAAAAAGTTATCAATATAAATATTGATAATTACTAAAATCTTGCAGCTGAAATACCCAAAAATTTATCAAAATCAGCGACTATAAAAACACTAGCAGCATAAAAACAACAGAACATGCTTGCAGCGTGTGCAGATAAAACCATGTGATTCAAAGTGTCACTGTAATTGGGCAATAATGACAGTTTCTACAGGAGCACATCTGAAAGCTCAAAAAGTAAATCAACATAATGCTTTAGCCTTCTTGGTATACTGACATATGTAAACTGAGCTTACAGAAATGTTTTTGTTGTTATAACTAACTAAAGAGATAGTTAAATAAAAAACAATAAATTCCTGCTAAAACAATGCACAAAGTTTTATAGGCAGTCATTTTGGTGTCACTCCCTCTGACAGAGTTACCTGTTATGATCTGTACTCCTACAATCCCACTAGAGAAACAGGATGTATCTTTCTTTGCACAACACAATTTTACAAAGCTTAATCATCAGTACAAATACAATGAGTCAGAGTAAGGAAAATTAGAGTGCCAGAAATGCACAGGTTCAGTACCAGGATCTGAAACCCAGTTTCATCACTCCTTACATGTGTGGACTTGGCAACTCTTTAAGCCTCTATCCCCTTTGGTAAAATGTTAATATAACTGGACCACTTCCCAAGGATGTTGTAAAGAATGATGAGACATTTAATCATATACCTGAAGCACCAACAAGGCACATGGCAGGAAACATTCAATGAATGATGCTTACCTTTCCCGTTCCTAATTGGTGAAGAACTTAGAAGCATTAAACACTGAGCAGTCCTGAGCCATCTTTCTTTCAGAATAGCACTGAAACACCTACAAATGTTCAATATAAAATGAAGCTGGAAATAATAATTCTTTCTAGAAAAAAGGAAAAAGGTTCTTTTCTTGGCTATCAGCAGTTCAGAGCCAAAACATACCATCAGACACCATTTAAGTAAAGTCCTCTCCTTTTACAATACCTTTCTATCCAGTCTTTAGGCTTCTGAGAGGCTTTGTGACAGACAGATATGGATCAAGAGCAGCTAGAGCTCTCTCACAAAGGAGTCTGACAGCACAGTGGTTGCATGATCAGTTGCAAACCAAAGTATGGTTTGAACCACCAGCTACTCTGCATGAGGAAGATGCGGCCGTCGACTCCCATAAAGATTACACATTCTTAGGACCTCTGTGCAGTTCTTCCCTCTCCTATAGGGTCACTACGAGTTAGAACTGACTCGATGACAAAGAAAGACGTAAAGCTCTCCCAATGGTCCATGGACATCAGACAGAGGCACCACATACACACCAAAAAAAAAAAAAAAAAAAAAAAATGCCTACAGAGAAGTGAAGTGACCACTGTGTTCAAAGAATTGTTCAAATGGACTTTGCCTTGCAATACTCACAGGCTTCTGTTCTTAACCAGGTATTAAAAAGAAGGTGCTAGGGCAACAAGGGAGTGGAATGACTTGGAAAAGGATAGCTAGAATAGTTGCACAACTTGCAGAACATAATCAACATTACTGAATTGAACATGTAGAAATGATTGAGATGGTATACATTTTATGTGTATTTTTACCACAATAAAATAAAAAGTAAAATAATGAATGCAAATGTATCTAAATAACAAAAGAAAGCTGTCACTGCTGAGAAGGGAGATGAAAGAAAGATCATGGCTCTCAATGATCACAGTTCCTCAGAGTGACTAAGCACTATTTTGGAACAGATCGGCAATGACGTGAACAAAGCTGATGAGTCACAAACTCAGGGACCAGCTTGGGCTGTTTCAGTTTGTTGGCTACATATCCCAAGAGTAGAGCTCCCGGTTCAGCAGGCCCAATGAGCCTCAGGCTCCCACTGTGGTTGCACACAAAGCACACAGAGTCCAAGGGTTTTACAGCCGCCACGGTCTGTCAGTGTTAGGAAATCTGTTGTTCCAAGACACTGGTCTATTATGCAGGGAAACCCAGAAACATACCAGCAGGCTAAGATGCAGAGTCCTGTAAAAAGGATGATAGGGATGGGGTACGATGCACAGAGCAGCCCATGGTTGTAGAAGGCCCGAGATATCTTCTCACGCAGCCTTTCAGTCAGGGTCATCCTCAGCTGAAGTCACCTTGCAGCCATCCCGGAAAGTGACCATGGATCAGCCTGGCATACACTGAATGGCACTGACATTGGACACCATCTGCAAAGGGATACCTGGCAGGAAAATAGAAAGCAGCCAATTAAGAGACAGTACTGGGCTCTGCGTTCTAGGTGTTGTTACGGAGAGGCAACAGGTGCACACAAGGTCTGAAAACATCAACGCACATGTGCACACACACAATCATAGTCATCCAATTGTTGTTGTTAAGTGCCATTCAGTCCGTTCCCACTCATAGGTACCCTGTTTCCAAGGAGCAGCTGGTGAATTTGAACTGCCAAGCTTGTAGTCAAGTGCTTATCCTACAGCACCACACCAGGATTCCGCCATCCACCTAGTAGTGACTTTATTAGCACCCTTCTTATCCAACTAGTCAAAGGATTCAAAGAACTGCTCCTCCAGCTCTAGTAATAAACCCTCAAGCCGCTTCTACATTAGCTGTTTTCACAAGACCACTCCCTAAAGGGAGTGAAGATTTACAACCTCGGAAATCCTATGGGACAGTTCTACTGTTTTGTAGGGTGGTGTGAGTCGGAATCGACTCAGCAACAGTTGTTTTGTTTTTTGGTACTAGAGTGGATTCTGGAGTTGAAAGGACAAAGAGTCCCTCTTGTCGTGCCTGCCCAGCTGCTGTCATCTTGAGTAGCAGCAGCCAGTGTGTCTCAGGGAAACTCTTCTCTCCACAGAGCTTGGCCTGGAAAGATTATCAGCCAACATGCTCCTCCCTGAACCAAACCATGCAGGTTGGGCTTCTGGATCTGACTTTGTCTTTTGAGTAGAAAAAAATAGGTGGTGCTTATTCATCCCTATGGAGGTTGCTATTCCTAAAATCCCCAGGCTGCTCTGGCTTCAATCCTTCTGAAGACTAGCTCATCAACTTTTATTTCCAATCTATGAACCACCCCTCATCCTTCCAATAAATCCCCTTTTTTGTTAATGTTAGCCAATATTCATTCCTGTTGCTCACAGAGAACTCTAAACAAATACAATCAGAATAGAAAACCCTACTGGAAGGTCTAAAATTCTCTTCTAAGCTAGTCTGTGAAATCTAAGTTTAGATCCACTTCTCCTGTTCCATGTTGCAGTTTCTTTGGCCTGTGTTAGATGGAACCTGCCCAGACACATGCCTTGGCTCTACTAGACTCATGATGAAAACCCAGGCTTAATGAGATGACTCTTCCGACCAGAAATAAGAAGCAAAACTGTCAGAGCACAGGTGATTCACAAGCCAGAAAGGACTGGCTAGCTCTCCTTCCACTTTCTGGGATTGTAGCATTAAGTGTGCATGCAATTTCCCACTTTAGGGAAATACAGTGAACCTTCTGTAGGTCATGCAATAGGCAATGGCTAGAGGACACACAGGTGACAGTAGAGATGCTCCCAATAGTCCCATCACCCACTGGGCTCAGCTGGAGCATGACAAGTCACAGAATTCTTAAACAGTAGACCTGCAGAAGGGGACTCGGGACTGTGCTCATCACCCAGCATCAAAATAAGCCCTTTCAGGAAGCAACATTCTGCTCCTGTGCCCCACACCCTGGTCCTTAAAAGGGCAAGACAGAAATCAGATGCACATCTGCAGAGAGATGCTGTCAAGACCCCTGAATGCTCATGGCCATAAACCAGCTGTACCTTCTTCAACATGTCCCTCTGACAAGTTCCACATCTCTTCCCTGAAATGTTGCCCCAAATCAGGCCCTCCAGGAAATTCTGACCCTACTAATTCCTTCCCCAGTCTCTCCTACACACAAATCAGCAACTCAGGAAAATGAGGTCTCACCTTTATGGCCCAGCTCCTACACTGCAACAAGAAAAAGATGTCTAATTCACTTCCATTTTGCAGCAAATGTAAATCTTTCTGAAATACTTTAGTTAATTTACACTTCCATTAGCCTTTACTAGTTATATGAACGGCTTGATTCTCAAAGCATCTGGAAAGCAAACTAGAAAAAAAAAACACCCAATTCTAGCTCACTACACAGCTTACCTACCTGAACCTAAATTAATCAGCTCTACTCCACAGTATAATGTCAATACAAAGCTACTCCAAAGCAAAATGTACCCAAACTCAACCCAAAACCTGTTTTTCTTACATTGCCCCATATTTGCAGGTTGTTTCAGATCAGAATCTCTAGCACTGGTTCTTGAATTTAAAGAGACAGTCTTGCCCTGAAGCCTGCGTGGACCACATTATATAAAAAATGCAAACCATCCTGATTCTTGTCTTTGTGGGAAACCACACTATCAGTAAAAACAAAGGAATCTGGTATTAGACTGCAAATCACAGAACTGGACATGTACAGAAACAAACACTATTGGCACAGGACAGAAGAAAAGCCCTGAGGAAGACTACAGAGGGAATGAGGGCACACCAAGTCAGACCTACCGGCTCAGAAGACAAAGGCACTAAGGAATGGCATGATCCTTCCTTAACAATAGACCAAAGAGGCAGGTTTATCACACCTTGTTTAGGTATCCATGACTCTGATATCACCCACTCTTTTTTTTTTTTTTTTTATGTTTTATTGTGAATTATGTGATAGTTTATATGGGAGAACATTAGTTTTACATTCATTCTATCGTATATTGTTTCATTGCCATGGTTACAATCCCCTCCATGTATCATCAACCAATCAAAGGGTATACCCTGCAAGCCTGCCCCCTACACTACCCCCCTCCCCAGTCTTCAGCACACAGTTGATCACTCACTCTTTGATCATAAATGTAGAGATTTGGAAAAAATCCAAACAGATAAAAGAAAGATGATGGTCTATTTGGTGTTTTATTCATCAAACACTTTCTTGAATCAATTTACACTTATTAAGAATCAACCAAGAAGCTAGGTGGGACAGAGGTAAATGACAATGTATGCACAACCTTGGAATAACAGGGCTTCAGGATACAGGGATTGAGGCATAGCTTGCAAGAAGAAAAGAGGGGAATAATGTTAAGATGCTTGGCTGTCTTTTGAATCTTGGTCTCCCTTGCCTACCATTGTGAAATAGATACTTGGGGGAGAGGAATAGCCAGAAACATCACAACAGAAAATATGTAAGCCCGGCTTCAGCCTGTAACTGACTGGAATACCTTG